AATATACTGATACAATTGTATGCAACGTAAATATGCTGGTACGGTACATTCCACAGACTATAGTTCTCTACAGCCCCGTATATACAAAACATGAAATTTTTTATTCTCTCCGAGATTAAATGATGAACGGAACTAAAGCAAAAACTGGAATCAATAATATGACCAAGCTAAAGAAAATAAGTCAACGAATCAGTGGAACAAGAGACAAGTAGGTTTGTTTTCATAATTAAAATTGTGATTAATACCACATATATTATACGTTAATATACTTTGTTTTGCAGAATGATTTCAGAGCACTATTCATTGGTACCATACTTGTTATGGTATAGGGATTATGGGTTTGTACCAATTTGATATAAATATAAATGTAAATATATTTATCATTTATTATTTGTATTTTATTTCAGTGATTGAGTTAATCCCGGCAACTATCAGATGATGGCTCATTTAATTCGTCTCAGCAAAACGAGTTGAATACTTCAAAGGGTATCAATGATGTAATACAAGGTCTACGCTTATGTAGACAAGTAAAACAAAATTATTTTTGAGATAAATTTGTGAAATTTTTATCAACTTATTACGAAAAGCTACAATTAAAAAAAATTTCGCCGATGAAGATGAAAATGGTAATTAAGTTTAATCACCATTATACCAAAATCAATTGGTGGTATATAAATTTTGCTGTGGAAGGTTTGTAACTTAATTTTTTTTATTGTTTTTTATATGTTCATGTTTCTTTATTCATTTTTTTTTCCTACGACGTCAATTATTTTATTAGATAGTGCGCTGCGAATGGAACCCTAAATTAATTTTTTATATATATGGAACTAGGATTAACAATTCAGTTAAGGTTAGATGAAAGATCATATCAACTTATTTCTTTAAAGAAATAACATATCTTAACACCTTAAACATCGTAACAGCGTAAATTCTCCTTGTAGCTGTGCATTAAAAATAAATGATGTACTTACAGTGATCTTCTGATTTTATGAAAGCCATTCTGAGATTAAATGAAGAGATAACGTCAAAAAAAAACATCACACAAAATTTACTTTTGACGCGTAGATACGGATATTATTATAAAATTGAATTGTTTAATGTTCTGCGCCACATTTACCGGCAATGTTTCACGTGACCTTTAACGAAAATAATCTATAATGCGATCGTCGATCCTTCCATTCTCAACCGAAAGTGTAAAGAATTATAAATGCTACTAGATGGTACATTCTAATCAATTATTAAATCCTGTCACAACTTTGGACAAAATAAGAAAAAAAAATTTACAACTTTGCCTGACAATTAAATTGTTCATCTGCAAAAAAAAAAAAATGGAACACAAAGAAAGGGAAAAAAAGGAAAAGAAAAAAAAATTAAAGAAAGTTCTAGACTAATAAATATATATTATTTAAATATATTTTCTTAGTTAATCAAATTATGGATTCTCAAAAATCTTGAGCTCCCCGTCTCTTCATTACTGGGAGAGTGATGCTCTATTCCTGTCGGTTGTAGGTAAAAGGAATCTTTTGTATGTATAGATGATATTTCTTGTAATTCTGTCGGCCATAGTACCATTTGAGGTGTTGAAGCGGAATGCCTCCAGGGTTCCTTTTCCTTTTCAGCATCTTCGCTATTTAGTTGTTTATTATTTTTAACGCCGGAGATTTCATCATGAATTAAAAAGCTAATTCTAGAGAGAACCGTAAAAAAATTCCTTTTCTCAGTCGACTCATTTTTCCATTTCTCTGATATTATCTTGGATATGTCGCCTAAACTAGCGTGTGGATTTTGTCTTTGTATCTCTACTTTAAGATCTTTACGATATAAAATGAAACTATTTTGAGAACGGGAGATTTTCGCTCTGTTCCTACTCCTGGGCACCAACAATATTTCTAAGGGGACATTTGTTGGGAAACGCATACCCTCTTGTGACATAGAATCCAAGTGTATGTTTATTAGGTGTTTTATCTTTTTTGAATCTATAAGATAGTTTTCGTTTTCCATTTTTTTTTTTTTTTTTTTTTAAAAAAAAAACAATGATTGAAGACAAATTTTATTATTATTACTACTATTTAAAAAAATTTATTTATCTATCTTTTTTTTTTTGAGAAAATATGTCAATATAGTCAAATAAATAAATAATAATAATAAATAATAAATAATAATAGTAGTAATGATAATAATAATAATAATAAAAGATGAAAAAAAAGAAAAAAATTTTTTTTTGAATTAGAAATGAGAGGAAAAAGTAAATCTTCCAAATGTACTTCATTTTTATACGTATGTAACTTCATTATTTTTTTTTGATTTAAGTAGTTCGAATATTAATGTATTAATATATAAATATATATAGATATATAGAGATGATACATAAATAATACAGATGACCCATTCAGCACGAAAAAGGAGAACAGCTAATGGTTTCCCTTTTATCCTTATTTGGATCTAGGTAAGTATTAATGAACAATTTATTATAAAGTTAGGTCCGAAATGCCGAATCTCGATTGTCATCCCGTTTGTGGATATATTCATAAAATTCGTTGAAAATCAATTCGAAATCACACAAATCAAACAATGTATGTGTGCAATTTATTTGTAACACGATGAAAAAAAAATGGTTCAAATTGAAGAAATTTCTAGGTTTGGTTCGATTCTTTTTTTTTTTTTGTGCATATAGAATTATTTTTGGATGATAAAATAAATAAAAAAAAATGGTCCGAGAGGATGGAATAATTTCTTAAAATGACCATATAAGGATTCAATGTTAAAGGAATTTCATGCAAGGACTGAGAAAAAATGGAATGACTGAAGATAGCCATATAAGGATTCAATGTTAAGAAAATCGATGCATGAAGCGGCGCATCGATTAGTTTTATTTTCGTGCGACGGGTTCATGAGGTGGGTCGATGGGTAAAACTTCATAAAGTCCACAAAAGGTTTCAACATCAAATATTACGATTTATGAGTGTGACGATTGATTCTCAAATGATTTTCTGTTAACAAAACAAAAACAAAAAAACATTATTATTATTTTATTTTATTTTATTCTATTTACATACATGAAACGAATTGTTAATAAAATAATAATTATTCATCATCATCAATTACTTTTTTAAAGCTCAAGGATTGTATCGCGTGATTTGCAAAATGGCATTTCTATTACTGGGAAATGGTTTCAGAATTGGAGGGAGACCAGTAGTCCTATTTAACTCCGTTGTTATGTCTAATTTTAGTAATGATCATAATTAGTCAAAATAATTTAACAATGACATACGATTAAGGTCTGAGCGAATGGGACTTAATCGGTTGTAGATTTATCCAAGTATATTTTTCAAGTGTGACCATCAAAAAAAAAAATATCATTCTCATAATGATATATGAAAGGAATTACCGGATATGTAAGATCTTGATGATTATTATTATTACTATTATTAAGAATATTATTTCATTCCTTTTCAGGCGTTATAAAACATTTAAGTTATGTTTTCGAAACGACAAGTGTCATTTTGTTTTACAAGTTGTAAACAATTTGACAAAAATCTTTTTTTAGGTCTAAATAAATGACAGTATCATCATTATGATTTTACTTTTTTTAAAAAACTCGACCAATGATCATCAATGGTGAGACATGATCCGATTGAATTCTATAATTTAATCAAAATCATACATGCTTACTTTTGTTACAATTAAAAATCGAGATACATGAAATAATTTCTTTTTATTGAACATAATGAAAATGAAAGTTTTATTATTACATCACTTTTTTTTAAAAAGGTAATCAAATCTCTGATTTCAGTTGCATCATTATTTGATCTTTTAATAGAAAAGATACCAATGAAAGTTTTTTTTAAAAAAAGAGGTAATTATTGACGAAAGAAAAAACACAACCTTGGCTGCACGAAACGCAACTACTATTCTTATACTTCAAAGGATGATATCTCCTGGTTTGTCTGCAATTGACTCCTAAAAAAAAAAATTGTATTTCACTCCTTTTTTGTACACAAAAAGGTCCTTTTAAAAAAAAATCAATTTAAATAATAATAACCTCTGTGTCATATTAAAGAACGAATTGGATCAAATGATTTTCCAAACTGGTAAATAATGAGGGGTGATATTCTTTGTTTACTTTTTTTTTTTTTTTTTGTTCATATTGTTCTATTTTCATAAAAAAAACGGTCTCAAAAAACTCATGTGATATTTAGGTCATATTTCCGTATCAAGAACTTCATTTTCTTAATCTTTTTTTCTTAACGAAGAAAAAAGTGAAGCATTTTGATATATTCAACGAAGATAGGTCTAGATGTAACCGGTTACTCAACATTTCGTGTCTCGTAACTGCGGCACTGCCTTGTCTTACAGTTAAATTTCCAATGTGAAACGATGAATTTACTGACTCCTTGACACATCGCATCTTGCAAATACCACACAGTATCAAAAATAATATATATATATACTGTATAAATAAAAATTTTTTTGGGGGGGAATATGTATATACCTTTTTAAAATATGCAAGAAAATGTAATGATGATAATTTATTTATTCTTTAATTTGCTATCACAATGGCCACATGAAGGGTGAAAAATTCTGGAAAAAACATTCAAAATTACTGGAATCGTATCGAAAATGTATTTTATTTTTGAATTACACAAAATTTCATTCTCTTTTTTTTACTATTTATTAAATGTTTGATCTACAGTAAAACATCAATTAAAAATAGATCAAATATTATGAAATTTTTTTGTTCAATTACCGTGTTATCATCTAAATTTGATTCGATTGATTCATATTTATTATTCTTTTCTATAAACGATTCCTTTATTTTTGAAAAAAAAAAATGAGCTGATTTTGCATTCGTAAAAAAAAAAAAAAAAAAAAAAAAAAAAAATTTCAAACTTTAATTTATCAAATAGTACGTTTTCCTAGCATCCCAAAAGGTAAAACCTTCATTGGAATGGATACACTACATAAATAGCATGAGATTTTGCTGCTGATTCGTTAATATACTAAACGTTAACTCGATCTACATCTTTTCCTTGTTCCAAATATTTTCTCTCGTGGAAAGGCGCTTTAAGACTTGTATCAATCTTTTCCATACCTGTTGCAGATGAGTCACATCTAAAAAATTCGAACTTTTACGGAGAAAAAAGATGCGGAACCCCGATCGTTTGTAAACTAATACTGCAAAGGACATGATATAAACATACTTTTGATCCAATAAATAACGCATTGGTTGCTGCTGTTAGTAATCCATTAGGAATCTCTCATCTCGATCAGAAGATACGATCTCGCTCGTCATCATATGATTCCAATTGCATAATTCACATTTTCATATACCAACTAACCGTTTGTAGTATTAATACGCGTAAGGTTAAAATTTTGTTGAAGAATCATTTTATTAGATCATAATCAATCTATTTTTATCTTATCCAGTATGATGTCGAATTGTGAACTAAACGCAAACTTATGTTAGTTTTTTTTTTGTACGTCTCGGTTTCGTTTAATTTCACCAGCTTCATCGGTTTTGTCAGTTTTGTCAATTTCGTCAATTTCGCAAGTTTCGTAAGTCTCGCCAACAACAGGAATGATAGAAAGATTAACTTGCGTCATTATTGTTTGTTTTTTTAAGGTGGGTTCAAGTTACGTACTTGTCTCATGAATTTATGAATTTATATTGGTTGATGTTTGCTTGATTAGCTCTAAATTCAACACGTCTATCTCTTTTTTTCTCAACTCTTTAAGGACAAGTTCAATGACCGAATGCTCAATTACATTAACAATACCTCATTAGCATCCTTCCGTCTGATAGATACAACCCATCGTATATACATTTAAATCTGCCATGTATCAACAAAATTGTGGTTACAGATAAATATCAAAGTACACTTCATCAAGGTCAAAATGTATTCATTAAAGCCACTCTTTGGATTTGCCTTCATATGCGAATTAAGAAAGAACTTTTACAAATCTTCAATTGATCCAATTGATCCAATTGATCCAAAATTGAATTTCAAATCAAAAAAAAAAATAATGATTTACTGAACTGGTTACATCATCACCATTTAAAACACACCACTTTAAAATCATTTTAAGGAAATATGAATTAAAATTTATTTTTGAACATCGGCTACAAATTCAAAATCTCAATGATATGATATGCTACCTTTTTTTTCTAATACCATCATCGTTTTGTAGCAATCCGACAGGAATCCGAAGTAAATTTCTTATTTACGCGCCATCCTTTTTTTTTTTACGCTAATTATAGTATGAAATCCATATTATGAATTTCTTAACAATTTGGAATAACTGGCAACTTTAATTTATGAAGAAATAACTTTATCAATGTTTTTAATTTATTTACAAATACATAAACACTATTTACATTTTGATGAATATGTTTATTTGTCTCAAATAATGTATGGAGGATGTTCGTAAATTTGATTCAAACATATGGGTGGTATGCTATTAAAATTGGGTACGAGACATAGTAAATCATATGATATTGTTGAGTTAAAAAATTGACGCAGCAAATTATGATGAAAAGGTATCGTTTTGTGTAACGAATCCCGCACAGAAAAATGAGATCAAATATCTAAACGAAGAAAGAACAAATGTCATGATTATGTTTTTTTTTTAATTTAATTTTTTTTTATTTTATTGATGTCGTAGGACTCCGCAACTCAAAATAAAATAAAATATACCAATATGCTGACAATAATTGGATCTATAAGTAACAATTTATATCAACGAATACAAATGAAATCTTGCTGGTTTTACACACACATCCATGCATTGAGACAAACCGAAATTTATTAATTTCAATTAATCTAACTTCGCTTTTTATTTTTTTCTGAACTTTGTTAGTGGCTCAACTTCAATGACTTCATCTTTCACTTAAAAGTGGGTGAATTAATACAAATACTGTAAGTATAACGTAATGAAGACTTTTCTTTGATATAATTGATTATTTACCTAGGTTTTTGTTAAGTTCTTCGACTAGTTCCATGATTCCTTCAGCAGGACTTGGGCTAAGTTCGTTAAGACCATCTTTACAAGTTAACTTTTCCTCAGTAAGGTGAAGAAAAGCTTTACCGGTAAGTTCTTTATCTCGGAATTTTCTAATATCGATTTCATTGAAATCGGAATTATTCATACAGGACTCAAGAAATTTTTTAACATGGTCTGGAAACTACATTTTAATGTTGCTAGGAAGTTTCTTAGATTGAGTTTATTTAATTATACTTTGGTCATTCAACTTTAGTTTCAAAGCTATTATTTATATTTAGAAAAGTATAAATTAATGATAGAAACTTTATTCTATCAAAGCTGATTCCTCAATTTCGTTAAGAAACTTACTTTTGCATAAATTTTAGTTACACATTCTGTAATTCTTTATCATTAGTATCAATTTCATATATTTTACAAAAAATACATATAAATCAGCCACTTCTCGTTAAATAATAAACTCTAATAATGTGATATTAGCTTACCTGACGGTATTAATTTTGTAACGCTTTTTCTGTTATTATAATTATCTGAAAAAGGTAACACTGCTGTTGCCACTGGATTTATTCCACGAATTTTCTTTAAAAGTATTTCACTTCTGACCTTGTTCTATGAGTTATCATCACATTCATTTTGAATACTCCAGGAAGTAAGTAGTTTGGTACTGGAGGTGCTATCCAAAATCTCGAAATCCAATCTCAAAATCCAAAATCCCGAATAGTACAAAATCCCAAATGGTCGAAATCTAAATTATCAAATGATATAAAATCCTGAATTTTCTTTTAAATGTATACATACTACGGCATATAAGTGTATATCACATAATTTTATTAAAAATTTTTTATTACATCGATTTAATATTTTACTTATACATAATAAAAAAACATGTTCAATCAGAGGGAGTTTTGCTTATCCAAATAAATAAACAAATTTTTTAGCAGGATAATATTCAAATACCTGAATATCACTCGCGAATTAACTATAATATATGTCACTAATTTAAAGTAATTTCCTGTAACATATTAACTCAATGCAATTTTCATGAATCAATCGTATTTATTATCTTTAAACATGATATAAAGTACTATTTACTAGGTAACGGGGGCCGTTGTGCGTCCGAAGCGAGCGTCACGCCATTATATTCCAATTATTTTCAGAACAACTTAGTATAATGTTATGCTGTTGAAATAATTATAAATGTATATATAGTATATATATAACTTTTTTTTGAAAATCGATTGAACATTTAAATTAAGTTAATAATATAACAATTATAAAAAAGATAATAAAGTTTTTATATAAATAAGCAATTACAATAAAATAAATTGTATTAAGGAATCATTGATATTAATCGCCTTTCTTCAGTCAATCTTTCTTGCAACCTCTTACATTTTTTAACACGCTGAAGTCTTTCTAATGAAAATGGTCTAAAAAGAACATTATTGAGAACGCAAACTCAGGAAATTGCGACAAACGAAAGACCTGCAGCATATTCCTTTTCCCCAATATCTATTATAGCCTTCTTCAATGTTAGTCCTTGACTTTTGTGGACGGTGATAGCCCACGCAAGACTAATAGGGATCTGTGTTTGTGAACAAGTTCCTTTTTTGCAGTCTAAGAATAACTAATGGATGGAATTGGAACAAGCCTTTTACCTTCCTAAGTCACAATAGCAGGACCTGAATAATTATCAAACTCTATTAGAACCGCATTGGGAAGGGAGGGAGGGCCCTGATCTTCTTCAAACACTATTTCATGGATGGTACCCATGGAACCGTTGACTAAACCTGCTTCTACCCATAAATTAGCTTTGAGCATAACTCGCGCATCTTTTTATAATAATAATTGCGCTTCAAGACACTTTGCCATATCAGGTATAATATATGGGACAGAAAAACATCGGTACCTTTTGCATAGAATGTAAATGTCCTAGTTACACCTAGTATGTGTATGCAGTCACATGCGGAACAGACAAACATCAGCACCCTTTTGCACAGAATGTAAATGTCCTCCGCTTCGCTTCGGATAATTACAAATTTGTCATATTAAACGCAACTATAACATAAGATTATGCGTAATCCTATAAAGAAATTCCATAATAGAACGGTTTCCTTTATCATTAAGTACCATTACTATTCTTTTTTCTTTTTCAATTAAGACTTTTTTTGCAGGACATGGTTTATCACAAATGTTACGTTCAACTTGAAAGTCTATTCTTTGCTGTTCCTTCTGTAACTCTTCAATCATCTTATAAATACCTAAATGACTTTGACCAACCAAAATTTCCAAATGCCGATGTCAAACTTCAGTGTTCGTGAAATTTCCCTCTCATTTAAATTACATACTGATCACAATTGTGGTATAAATAAAGGAGTTGAACGAATAACATTATTATTTCAAAGATGTTAACATATCCTTTCATAAACATAATTATCTTTAAACTATTAAACAATTTCATTTACTTCTGGAGGAATTTCAAGCTTTATTATATTAAATGCCTCTGGAATTTCCTGTGATGGTAAAAATGCTAGTGCAAATAAATGTCGTAATATTAAACTAAATTACTCATCATCACCATATCTAGTAGCAAGTCTGTATAATTGAATTTTTCACTTCAACATTAGAAAATACATGATGTGATGCATTGATTGATGCTAACTCAAAATCGTTTAGAATGATTAAAGGTTGCAAGTAATATCATTTTCTACTGCAAAGTCAATTAATTTTTCAAATAAGTATCTATAGATTTCCAATAGACAAGTGAAAGAATTCTTAAATTTTCACCACCAACAGATGCATGAATAATATATAATTGACAAAATACTGTTAGAACAGTCTTGAAAGTATCATCTATTAACTAAAATAAAGCCTGAGATAAGTGTCAAATATTTGCTTGTATAGTAAATTGTAAAATCTGATCATTACTAATTTCACTATCTCTTATTAAAAATATGGAAGGTTTGCTAGAAAAATGGGACTTTGAACATTTTTTATTAAAATTTTAATTTTTATTGCATTTTAATTTTTGATAATATTAGATTAAAATGCAATAAAAATTAAAATTTTAATCAAAAATGCTCAAAGCCCATTTTTCTAACAAATCTCCCATATATCATTATTTAAAGTTGAATGAAATAAATTTGGAACAATAATTCCTTCAATTGTTTGCAGTTAAGCAGGTATTTCTGCTCTTTTGATACAGTTAATTCTTGCATGAAAGGTATTAGAAGATGACATATAAGATTGATACTCTTGCAATATACTAGAAGTAATATCTTGAATTATTTAAGAAGGTTTATCTCATATTATATGAGCTTTCTGTTTGATTTGTCTAATAATTTCTGCAACTTTAGCATTATTAGACTGAGACGAGTGATTATATTCAATAAATTTTTAAGATAATAGAACTCATTGTTAACCCTATACTCAACCATCGAACTTAAGGTAATGTTGACTTAATAATAGAAAGTAATATGTATATTTAGTTATGATTACTATGAGATAAGTTCTATCATAATTAACTTTTATTTTAATTAATAAACAAGTAGATATACAGAAGGAAAAATAAAGTTTATAGTTTAAAAAGAAAGATTTCTTTATTGTAGATTTTTGTATATTTAGAATCCTTTACCCTTAGATTTCAAATCTTCGACCTCTTACTATAAGTTCTTGAACTCACACTCTAAGTTATCCTTTTATATTAGCTATATATTATCTTATTTATACAAAAATACAATTATAAGAAAATCTATATGTAATATTATTTTAAAATAAATAATCTATAACAATAAAATAATTAATATATATAAAATATAATCTAAATATTATAAATTATAAAACTACATTAATTATAATAACAAATGAATAAATAAATAATATAAGAAATATAAATATGTTGAAAATATTAAAAATATTAAAAGAATTGATAATGTTAACATTTTTGCAGATTTTTATGATGCAGTAATTTTTACTTGATCTGGTATTACTGTTATAAAAATTTGTTATCACATGATCCTTGCAATTTTCAAGCTTTTTTTTCACAATACTAATAATATGTATTCTTTAGTTTTTTCTTGTATCATTAAATAACCTTGAATACTTTTTTCTTTTTAAAATAAAATAAATTTATATATTTCATGATTTTCATTTATTTATAATATAATATATTTTTAAAATAAAAAGATGTAAAATAAGTTTTCTTCTTGATAATATTTATTAAAAATTATACTGATTACACATTGTTACCAGCTAAAAATTCACTATTAAAAAGTTGATTTACAAAAGAATTATTAAATGATCTACAGAAGTTACTGGAGTTAATTTTATGTCGATCACAAATTAGAAGATCTGCATAATTCCAGATTTTGATAATTCTTAGGATCCACAGGATTCTGAGGATTCGTAGAATTCTTAGGATTTACTGGATTCGTCGGATTATCATGATTCATTAGATTTTCCTAATTCCTTGTATTTCCATTATTTTAATTATTATCATTATTCTTCTTATTTTTATTATTTTATTATACTTATTATTAGTATTATAATTATTATCATTATTATATTAACACTTGTAGTTACAAATTTAGTTAGTTTATAGCATAGCAATTAGTTAAACGTAGCAAATTAATTTTGTATAAATAGAATAGCTTTTTGCTCAAGTTGTAAATTAACTCTATTGCGATTTTAGTTTTATTACAAGTTCAAGTAATAAAAGAATCAACTTTTAAAACAAAAATACTTTCTCTTCTATGTGTCCATCATCTAGGATTTGATCGTGAACCACTATACTAATTTGCAATTGAGTTCGTCACTTAGAATAAATAAATTCTCTAAATTTCCTAAGTCCCTAAACCCTTAAGTTCGTAAACTAAGTAAAGTAATTCCAAAGCATTCTGGATACCTATAGGCAGTGATGGCATTTGGTCATGACCAATGGCCAAATATCAAAGGTCACATGACTCTGCCAATTTTTTTGGCTTGAATATTCAATATATTGCATTTATTCAATAATTGACGCCTCTGACGTTCGGAATGTTAAAATAATTGCAAAATGGTCAATAATTGAACGTTCTGAACGTCGAAGACATCAATTATTGCATTTTTGCAATTGACTGAGCGTTCCAAACGTCGGAGACATCAATTATTGCA